CTTTGGAATCCCTATACAGGGTCACTAGGAGTAGGAACCAATTCAATGGCACTTAATAACAACAACAAGGAAGACTAGCTCATCTGACGAGTATTCAAATATACACACCAGTCACTAATGCAAATGATGAAGAAATTGAAGATTGTTGCCAAGTCCTGGAGTCTGAAATTAACCAAACATGTGATCAGGATGCACTGATAATTCTTGGTTATTGGAATATGACAGTTGGAAACAAAGACAGATGAGTTGTTGGAAAATATAACCTTGGTGATAAAAATAACATCGGGGATCTCATGGTAGAATTTTGCAAGACTAATGTAATTGTTTGGCCACTACTTGTCTGTCTGTCTTATGGTGGTGGTGAAGCGGCACAGGAGACATTTATTTGTCTATGCCCAAGAAATTTGGAAGACAACTATCTGGCCAACTGATTGGAAGAGATCCATATCTGTGCCCATTCCAAAGAGAGGTGACCCAACGGAATGTGGAAATCATCGGACAATCTCTTTGATATCTCAAGCGAGTAAAGTTTTGCTAAGGTAATACAGAGGTAGCTGTAATCATATATTGATAGAGAACTTGGTCTAGGTACAGATTCCTCATGACTACAATTAAGTGTTCCCGAATACTCATACTTCGCAATGTTGTCCATAGCTTGTCATGATCCACACAATTGAAAGTGTTTGCATAGGCAATAAAGCATAGGTAAACATCTTTCTGGTATTCTCTGATTTCAGCCAAGATCCATCGGACATCCGCAATGATAGCCCTCGTTCCACGGCCTCTTCTGAATCCAGCTTGAACCTCTGGAAGTTCTCTGTTTAGCTACCTAGCTAGCTAGATAGATAGAGATAGATTTTGTCACTCCACAGTTCCAAATCTTCCAGTGAACAACCCTGTAACATCCACATGAAAAATCCAAGTCGCAGTCTGTCTCTTCATGATGTGCCCCTTGTTTTCTTCTCTGATATCATTATCTGGAATTCTCCACCTTGATCCTTATGTTCCAACCAAATGACTTGTTGGTCTGCAACACATGATTTGGGGTCATTAACTGTGACATCATTTCTTATCACCCTCCTACCTCGTCATGAAGGAGAGGCAGACCACTTCTGAATGAGAAGCCACTGAAAACCTTATAAATAGCAGCAGAACATTGTTAGATATGGTACCAGAAGATAGGCCCCTCAGGTTGGAAGGCACTCAAAATATGACTGAAGAAGAACTGTCTCCTCAAAGTGCTGTTGACCTAAAGGACATGACTGGAACAAAGCTTTCCAGTGCTCACCCTACAGTGCTATACCAGGACTCCTTTAGAAGTATGATACTGGTGGTTGTGTGCCGTGCTGTTGATTCCACCTCATAGCTACCCTGTATAGGGTTTCCGAGGCTATACATCTTTATGGAAGCAAAATAGGACTCCTTTCCTTATAAGTATGTTGTTGTTGTTGTTGTTGTTGTTGTTGTGAAGTGCCGTCGAATCAGTTCCAACCCATAGCGACCTTGTTTAGGGTTTCTGAGGAGCAGCTGGTGTGCTTGAACCACCGGCCTTGCAGTTCCAACAGCTTTGCTGTCTGGCACATTAACCCACAGTGCCACACCAGGACTCCTCCTGTTGTTGTTGTTGTTGTTAAGTGCCTTCAAGTCGGTTCCGACCCAGAGCGACCCTGTACAGGGTTTCTGAGGGTGTAAATCCTTACGGGAGTAGAAAGCCTCATCTTTCTCCCGCGGAGCGGCTGGTAGTTTCGAACCACTGACCTTAAGGTTCGCAGCCCGTCCTAGGACCTAATAAAATTTAGTCCTCAGGTCCGCTTTGAAGGTGTGTCCTTCACTTGACTACCTGAAAAGATCCATACATCTTTCACATTGTGGGCTGAAGTGTCCAATATACAAAGTACACATGCACAGACTTAAGTGCATTTACAAGCATTAGACTGCTAACCACAGGTCAATGATTCAAACCCACCAGATGCTCCTAAGAAACCCTATACATGGTCGCTACGAGTTGGAACAACAACTAATATGTAGAGCACAATTTCTCCTGGGTTTCACCACAGTAAACTCAATTAAGTCCATGCATACCTTGAACACTATCATATACTGTGCTTAATCTGTGCCTGATCTCCAAGAACTGCTGGTTACTAATAAAACAAGGGTGAGCAGAGCTCAGTCTGTAAACAGAGAATAATCAATCTGTTGATCACTGAACAGTGTTGATGGTCTCTAGTTTCATACCCTATCATTTGTCTCTGTCAACCAGTGGTTTTTGGAATAAAATTTATCTAATCCACCCTCTCATTTTATTGATGAAGCTTCTCAGAGACAGATAGGTTTATGGAAATCAATAAAGCTTCTATGAGAACGTGAAGTACAGTTACAGAAAACATACCCTGGATTTTTCAGGATACTACTAAATTTGCATATTTTGCTTTGCTGTTCCCATGAGCATACCTGAATTTGTCAGAACATGTGTTTGAATTTGGCATTTGGAAAAACATGATCACCTTATCCTGAAAATAATGTTCAGAAAAATAAAATGTTCAGAAAATTCAGACTTTTACATTCACACTGAAGCACACGATCTGGCAAAGGAAAATGACGAGAAACAAGTTCTACTCTTTTTCTATTCTCACTTTTTAAATTCAGAAACCCTATCCAGGGTTGCTATGAGGCAGAAACAACTCAATGGCACTTAACAACAACAGCAACAATATACCTATCTACCATTTAGCTGAAAATTGGGCCACAAAGGCAAAAACTATAACAGTACCTTAAGAGTGCTTTCTGGAAACAGATCTAATAATATTAAGCCCTTGTGACTAAAGTAGAGTCCTTGGGTGATGCACTTGGCTGCTAAGCTGAAGGTTGAAGATTCAAGTCTACACAGAGGTATCTCAAAAGATAGGTCTCGGTGATTTACTTCTGAAAGGTCCCAAGTCATTGAAAAGTCTACAGATCTACATACATGGAGTTGCCATGAGTCAGAATGAACTTGACAACTGGGGTTAGTGGCTAAATCACTGGGAGTTAAGAGTGGGATTGTTGTTGTTATTGTTAAGTGCTGTCGAGTCGATTCCAACCCATAGCGACCCTGTGTAGGGTTCCCAAGGAGAAGTTGGTGAGCTTGAACCACCGACCTTGCAGTTCAAACAACTTTGCAGTCTGACTCATTAGCCCACAGCACCACACCAGGACTCTGACTGGGATACAGAAGGTAAAAGATGTGGAGAAGGAAGAGAAGAAGATAGTTGCCCAAGGAGTCATGATCAATGAAGAAAGATGTATGGGGTGAACTGAAAAATGCATGTTCCTTTCTCCTAGAATCTGCTTCTGCCTTCACCTCAGCATAGGAGATAGTTCCTCAGGGCTTCCTTTGGAGTTAAGTACCACTGGAGTGAGTGAAACATGGGGTTAGGGTGAAACTCCCATGGAGTACAGTTCTACTCTGACACACATGGGTTCACCATGAATCAGCCACTGGTAAGGAGACCTCAAGAGTTTAGTATATACCCTCTCTGTAAGGAAAGCAAAACACAGTAAACTTGGGAAGCTTTACCTTTAAAGAGCAGAAGAGAATAGGGAGCCTTTTCATTAGGCATAGCTCTTTGTTTCCACTGAAATAGAAACATGCAAAGAAAATTGCAGGCAGATTGCCTTTCTTCTTGCTCATTCTTCCTTCTTTCATACAGTGCCTAACTATGCAACAGCCACATCGTAAAAGGACATTAAGTATTGGTTGATGGAGTCTTAAAAACGAAGAGCAACCCAGAAACTCTTGCACAAACTCTTAATCCTAAAAGCATTGTAATTTTAGTATTCTTCAGTTAAAGAAAATAACCAGTGTCTCTAAGTTAAACAATAAATGTTGTTTGATTCTAAAATTTAAGCAGTGATTGGGAGTAGTTTTTACTTCATGTTTTCATGTTATGCTGGAAATTATTTTTCACAATTCTGTAAACTTCACAGTATTTTAAAACACACTTTAAGAAAAAAAGTTTAGAAATAATAAAGTTTGTTGCAAGTTAAGGAAAAACCTTTTTCTCTTAGCATTAAGTTCTTTTTCCTACTTGCACAATTTAAGAAAATATGTGTTAATAGTGTTCAAATAGCAAGATTTCTATTTAAACTTCATGTCCTGGCAGAACCTTTCATTCACAGAGGTTTACCTTCTGAGAGGTAACAGCCTTGAGAACCCTCTGGAGCAGCATAACTGTAATACATAGGGTTGTCGTAAGTTGTAATTGGCTAGATGACAACAAACAACTAGAAAAGGGCTTAAAAAAAGGGGGGGGGCAAATGATTCATTCTCAATTTTACAGAAAACAGTGAAAACTGCACTTCAGAAAGACCTGTAATTGGTGAGAAGAGACAGGACCTTGGAGTTAAGAAAAGTTGAATTTGTACATTGAGATATAGCTTGTGTGTTATTTGTCCACACCTTCCTATCCACCTCAGTAACACTGAGGAACATCCAGCATAACACATTTAGGTTCTGTTTCTTTTTCCAATTTCCTTTCCTCCTAAAAGCACAGAATGAGTGAGGGTGGGGAATAGCGTGACTCTTCTTGTATTGTGTGTATGCAGTTGTTGTTGATTATAAACTGAATTATCATTTGTTGTATACGTGCCTGTCCTCAAATTGCTACTTTATTTGCCACCTGACAAGCAACCTCATATATTTACTATCTTTAAACCCAAGCATATTTACCACATACTAAGGAATCAATAGATTTCTTTTTTTAAAAAAAAATGAATGAATTAATGAATTCTTTTCTTCTAATTTAACCTGCTGGAAGGCACTACATAGTGCCAATAGGTACTAGGAAATGGTGTTCCATGTTGGCAACTCAGCCTACTATTGTTTGATTTGGGAGCTGGTCCATTTTTCACACTGTGAGTATAAACTGAAAACTAAACAGGATGTTTTACTTCCTCTGTATATTTTGGGTCCTTACCATTCACTGTGTACTATGTCAGTCTTTTCTTTCTGATCCCTCTAGGACAGAACATTATTCCATCCTGTGAGCAACAGCTGCATGGATTGCAATCCCGCAGAGAAGAAGATTTTCATGGCCAGATGTGACCCTCTATCTGAGACTCAGCAGTGGATTTTTGAACATATTAATATGACTGTTTTAGAAAAATTTAACTACCATGCCAGCTCCTAGAAAGAAAAAAGGAAGGAAGAAAAAGTGATTCCCTACAGATTACTAACTAAATTTTGGCCAGCATCTGGGTCGAAGGAGTCAGGAATAACATTTCCTAGATCCAGGAAGCCTGGTTTAAAGATGTATAAAGGCCATGTTTAAGTAGGTTGTCCTGAAGAACTTCCTGCATCTGAAGAACTTGGCTGAGAACCTCACCAGCTGCTTCTGAGAACTTGAGACTAGCAGTTCCCTTGCTGGCCAAGGGCAATGATTATTTAGGGACTTTTCAAAACGACTGCTGAGTTAATAAATCCTAGCATTTCTCAGGTCAAATCCTGCAGTAGTGAGTAGCTATGAATGGATCCTATTAATTGGGTGGGAGGGGGGTGGAAATAGAGTGCATGACTACTCTGACAGACTAAGGAAACCACAGCGGTGGTTTAGAACTAGACACAAGGGGTGAGCTGTACTCTTTGGTGCCATTCTCTGACTAAGAATTGGTTACGCAGGTTTAACCCTTAAAAGTGCTGCAGATGATTTTAGAGTGCTCATACCGTTCTGTATTCTTTTACTTTTACACTCCACAGTGATATCTAAGGACTTAAAATGTAAGACGTAAATTACATAATAGAATGAACTTTCAGTGTTCTCATTCTTTTAGTTTACAGTTACTTTTTGTTTTGTTCTGTTTTTGAGCAGAGGTAACTTATTGTTCATAAACTTCATGCTCCATAAATCAGCTGAAGTTCTAATTCAGTGCCCGTGTATGAAACCAGTTAAATAAGCTCACAATATTAATAATAATTACAATGCTACCAAGTTACTCCAAAGAGAAAGATTTCACAGAGGCAGCAAAACCATATAATGTTTAGGAAAATGATTTCTCTAAAAATCTATTTTTACTTTTCTATTATTTTTTAAATTTTAAAAGTTTGATGTTTGTCCAGTCATAACTTTTATTAAGGAAGGAAATGGAGTGTGGTTGATGTAATTTGTTTAGGAGATTCTTAAACTCAAATAAATCTACACTCCAAGTGGCGTGTGAAATGACTTGGTTCACTTCAGTTGTTTCATTAGCGTTGGGGGCCTGGAAGTGGTTTTGTTGGTTGGTTTTTTTGTTTTCTATTATTGACACTGGTGTATTATTGTTGCTTTATTTAGAAGCACGTAGAAGAAAATTCCATTAATAAAATGTTTCAGGAACCATTTTCTGTTACTGAGACAATATTTCAGGGGTTAAAAAAAGAATTATTTTTAAAAAATCAAATGGAACATTCAATTCTTAAAGGATTTTTTTTCCATTTAATAATGATGGAATTGAGAGAAATATACAGATATCGAGATGAGTCTCTTGATATCAAGAATTCACCATTTCTCCATTTTTTTAAATTACAAAATAGTGTTTACTTCATTTTCTTATAAATAAAAAATGATCTATCATCTTAGCTATAGAAGCATTGAATTTTAGAACTGTAAAGGCTCTTAGGATCTAATCCCCAGGATTTACAGAAGAGTAACTATAACCCAGAGAGAGAAGGCCTTACTCAAAGCAGAGCAGATGATTCGTTGGACCTTTAGTCCAATGTTTTGTCTACTATTGCCTCTCTGTTAGCAGGGAAATGTTCTGGTTATAACTTTGCTTCATACTCTACCTCTCCGGGGATACCTACAAGAGGCTCACTTCACTTTCAGAAACTTCAATATATGAGCCCTCTTCTTGAAATGTTCATGATTTTGTTCTGTCCTTGAAACCTAATGAAAATGTCTAGTTAAACTGTCCTACTAATAGTTGGGGGAGAGTTATTTAGTTATCTTTACTGATTTTCAAGCATTCTTTTGAAAAGCTATGCTTTTTAAACTGCGAGCTACAAAGCTATTTTGTGTAGGTTAAGAGATTTTGAAGCATTCAAGATGTATAGTGGAGAAAATCAATAGTGAAAAATTAACCTGTGTGTTGAACAATTCCAGAGAGTGAGAGAAGATTTATCTCAAGTGCCCAGGGAACAATCTGGTGGTAGAATTAGATGAGCTTATAAAAATTCACATTATGTCATTAAAGAGTTGACTGTTATTTGCAATTCCACCAAAGAGTCAACCCTGAGTTCTGTACCCTGGAAAGTCCAGGTTTGGCATAATCTCTTAGGAGGATAAAATCATATGAAGTTAGTGATAACATGTTTACCACTATCTGCTAAGAAACCTGACAATTACATCATTTTGGTATAATAGCCAGGCATCAGCAAATATTTCTCATTTAATCTCTAATACCCAAACCATGGCATTTTAAATAACTTCATATGTATGTGATAGTTGGACAGTGAATAAGCACATTTGAGTTATGGTGTTGGAGAAAAGTATTAAAAGTACCATGAACTGCTAGAAGAACAAACACATCTGTGTGACGAAAGTACAGCTAGAATGCTCCTTATTAATACAGGATGATGAGACTTTGTCTTTCATACTTTGGATATTTTGTCAGAAGGGACCAGTCTCTGGAGAACGACATCATGCTTGGTTAAGTGGAGGGTGAATGAAAAAGAGGAAGACCCCCAATGAGATGGATTGCCATAGCAGTAGCAACAATGGACTCAAACACAATGGTGATGAGTGCTCAGAACTGGGCAGGGTTTCCTTCTGTTGTGCATAGGCTCACTGTCCATCAGAACTGACTGGACAGCACCTAAAAACAACAGTCTCAGATGAGTAGGCTCTGTTGTGATGTTGTAGGAGAAGCACTTGACTGCTAACCATGCTAACCACAAGGTCTGCAGTTCAAACCCATCAGCCACAACCACGTCTCAGAAACCTGATACAGGGTTGCTTTGAGTCGGAACCTACCCAAGGGCACAAAACAACAACAGCAGAAGTCTCAGGAGGACTTGTATCTCACATCTTACCTTAACTCTGAGTAAAGGGATGTGACACAAAACAATTAAAATGTTTTAAATGTGTTACAATAGAAATTTGAGACATTAAAAGATCCCTGGATAGTGCAAACAGGTTGGTATCCTAAAGGTTGGCAGTTCAAACCCACACAGCAGTACCACAGGAGAAAGGCCTAGTAACAGGCTTCTGTAAAAGATTACAGCCAAGAAACCCCTGTAGAAGACAGTTCTACTCTGTAACAAATGGGCTCTCTATGAGTCTATTCTATATCAGTCAGAATGGACTTCATAGTAATCATTAGGTTTAGGTTTTTTGGACTCCTGGTGTGGTACTATAGGATTAACACTGGACTTCGAACCACAAGGTTGGCAGTTCAAACCCACCAGCTGCTCCTCAGAAACTCTACACAGGGTCACAATGTGTTGGAACCAACTCGACAGCACTTAACAAGAACAATAGCAAAACCTAAATTAGAACTTCTAACTGCCAAGCAATTGTTAAATGTGTGCAAATAGGAAACAGGCAAACAGAAGAAAATGAAACCAAAATAACCTAGTCCCAAGCATAAGGGATAACACTGCCAACTAAGCACATTCACATTTCCAGTACCACCGATTTTTGGGACTCCATACTCACTTGAAGTGCCATCATTACCATTTTGAAAAGTATACAATTGCATGCATACGTGCATTTGTTTGCAAAGGGGATTGAACAGTTCTCAGGAAGATTCTCTTTCCTGGAAATAACATGATTTAAAAATTGCATAGTACAATACTGCCCTACACTTACATCAGAATGGGAGGAAAATATCATAAAGTTAATCTGGCCTCAAAAATTACTGCTTTTCCATGAAAGAAATTTGTTTCACCAGAAATTAGAAAATAGTTACTTTTTGGAATCATTACTATGTATTTACTGAGAAAAGGTTGTGTAGAAAAACAACTATAAACTAATTATGAATTTAGATTTTTTTCAAGGCTGGATTAAAACTGTAGTAATAAAGATGTATTGGTTTCTTTGTCTACTGTTGTTTAGTTTAAAAAATTAATACATATAATCACATGACTGTTTTTAAATGTATTCTATCAGAGGCTTCACTCAATAATATAAGTAGCAGTATTATTTTATGAACTGATAAAATAGAACTTTATATAATAAATGAATAATACATCATGAAAATGGATTTACAGTCAATGAAAGAGTGTGTCAGGCCCATTCTGTTTATGGTCTTGAAAAATATAAAACCAATGCCAATACTTGACATCATTTCCTTTCAGAGGCAAGTATGTGTTTTTAAAGGAAATGAGAGCTAAAAATAAATAAACTAGTAGATACAAATATCTATTCTGTTCTTATTGGTCTTACAAGAAAAAAAAAAATTGTGTTTCAGTCCTTTTGTAAGTATCTTCATAAAAAAAAGAGCACAAAGGAGTCTTTTATCCTGAAGTCTAACACTATAAACTTCATGGTAGATTCATCAAAAGAGTCAATGACAGTTTATAAAGTCCATGATCCAATCATAGAAGGGCACACCTACTAGTGTGTGACATTCCTGGCCCAGACATAGGTTTTGAACAGAGTAAATGGCAACTCTACAGATCCCTTATGTTTTACTTCCTGTTTCAAGTGTTACAGAATGTTTCCCAGAGATGGACAATTCCCCAGGCCCCCCAGTGCCTCTAGGTTACATTATTCTGAATTTGACATCATCCTAATAATGTGATGCTGTGAACATTGATTTATCCCCAGGATCCAATTTGGTGAAATCTCGTTAGGCTTCTTTCTTTGGCAGAGCTATAAAGCTATGATGCTTTTATGCAAACAGGTGCTGTACATGTGCTGAAAATGGACATTTTATAGTAATCCTGAGAAGCAACACTTAAAAAGATGCTCCTTCTCAGGATTTATATGAAATTTTTAAGTTGTTCCTTATGATCTTTGAGTAAATATAGATGGCAAGCAAATTGTTTCTCAAGATGTGGAGTGTACGTAATGCTTTCCATTCGCTTCATCAGCAAGTTCTACCCTTGCTATCTGTGACAGTTAAGGTTATGTGCCAACTTGGCTAGGCCATGATTCTCATACTATGTAATCATCCTCCGTTTTATGATCTGATGTGAGCAGTCAAGTATTTGATAAGGGAGTTTCGGTGGAAGGATAGCTCTGACAAAGATCTAAATATCTAAATCCTGTGTCCAAATGCACATCCTCCAATCAGTGCTTTGTGGGATGTGAGTCAGCAACCTATCACCTGACTTGTCAATTGTGAGTTTGTCAGCACCTACAATCACATGATTTATAAAGGTGTGGCTCTGTGTGCTAATGTGCTGGACTGCAAGGTCTGTTTGAACTGCAAGGTTGGCAGTTCAAGCTCACTAGCGACTCCTTGGAAACCCTATACATAGTCACTGTGAGTCATAACTGACACCATGGCACTTAACAACAAA